TTCCTCCGTTTTCGAAAATGTATGTGTCCACATGTACAGCGTAGCGTATTCGAATCGTTTTCGACCGTCCACACGAAAACGCTAAAACGATGGAAATACGATAACAACCTTGACAGGGCATTTGTTTAAAGGCTAGAAGAATATGACGTATGACATTGTCGTATTCAAAAAACTCAGTTTTCGTCCGCCCTCACGTAAACGGGAAGCCACTCTTGAACGGAGCGTTTTTGAAAAGATGTGTTTTTCCACTGGGACCGTTTTCACCGAGGCGTGTGGACGGCGGGCCAGGCAGGAAGAAAAATCTCCTCTTTTAACCAAGACGGATACGTGTAAACGGGGCTTTAGAATCGGCAAAAAATTCATGCCGTTTTATTGTGTCGTTTTCATACATAAATTTATTTTTTTTCATGAATAAATCTATTTTAACTATTGATTAATTCTCTATTCAATAGTACGCAATCGGTCAGATCCGGAAAATGAAGATTTATTCTTAAAGCCAGCAAAGTTAAAACTTTGATTCACCTTCATAATAAATATTAGTATATTTTACAACTGGCCTTCATCGGTTCATAGTGACACCTTTCTATCAGATACATATCGTTTTTAATTGCTATTTAAACTGATCATGACACGTATTAAAAGTGAATATAACCATGGTTCATAATAAGCTGCTGGTGGGTAAATAGTGGTAACAAGAATGTGCAAAGTTTGGCTCAGAAATATGTTCGATTTGTCTGAGCTAGAAACAGAGCAGTTCTACTTGCTTCGAGAGCCACTGGCTGAATTTCAAGTTATACATTAATACACGATAATTTACGGGAAATCCTACCTGCTGAGAAGCTTGGGTTTGGCGATAGGAGCAAATTTTCTATTACAATGGTATTTTTGCAAATTGCACAAAAATTGAGTGATTTCCACAAAACTTAAAATTCTTGAGTTTTAGACAGTGTAAAATATTTCATCCGCCAAGTTTAAGGAAATTCGTTTGACTGTGATCTGTTCTATGAGATAGGTCTGAAAAACGGCAATGAAACACAACCTTAACTTGGCCCAGTAACCATGTCACGAAACAAATGCCAATTTAAACAATTATTTTGCAGGGCAGCAATGTTCAATTATTGATAAATATGACACATAAATTTCAGGATCGTAGCCCTAATGCTGCTTGTGTAATTCCCTGTTACACATAGAAGGAAATTTGCTTGCAAAATAATAAAACTGATTTATTTACAAAATATTCTACTTTGTGAAAATGTGCTTGAAAGATATGAAATATTCATTATTAGCCCAGCTATTTAACAGAAACAGGTCCGAATCTCAATCAGTTGTAAGCTGACATCATAACCAAATTTTCTCAGATCAATAGCTTTCCCCAGTTCCCTTTAGCTTACAATATATTCCCATACAAATCCTTATAATTTGACTTTGTGATTCTGGGCTCCCAGTGTCCAGAATGGCCAGAATCACAGTAAAGGATTAAATTAAGGTCCTTTGAATCTCAAATTACCCAATGGACAACAAAACAAAGTAAACCTGTACTGGATAAGAGCTAGCTTAAAATAGAGTTCATGTAGAGTTTACGTACATGCATATTAGAAAATCTGTCATAGATGGTCCACATATCATGGAGAAGTGAAAAACTGAAAATTCAACTAACCTGTTTAGCTTTGAAAAGCTTGAGTTGAAGTGATTTGTACTCACTGTCCTCAACAAGTGATCTTTTCTCTACAATATCCAATAAATAATGAATAAAAAATCAACAGTTAAAAATAATAATTACATGAATTGTTTAGTCCTCTTCTAGCAGCATTCTACACTACAAATTCACTCAAATATTAAAGACCTTGGCGCAAGAGATAGTAATCCATTTAGAAAAGACTGATTTATTTACTACATTTGTTATGCAGTGTTCTATTCAGCCCTTTTTTCAAACTTGTGTTTTTATAATAACTTCTGCACCATAAGATGAACATGTACCACTCTGGCTTAAAGGCAGTACACAGGTTTGAAATTACTGAAGCCGGATGACACGTGCTGTGTGGAGAATATCTGCAGAACATCCCTTTATGTCTTGAACTTGCCAAGAAACAGGCAATTGGAGGCAGGAACTTAGCGTCGATCCAGGTAAGCATGTTTTAGTAGCCAGTTTTTAAACTAGGAATTATTTCAAATGAATAATAAAACAATTACTGGATTCGGCTTTAAGTGAAGCTCTCACACGCACAAAGCGTGTGCAGCAGAGAGCCATGGGTAAGAAAATTTGGTTGTCTATGCATCCAAGAATTTTTGGTTCTGACCAAATCATCCATAAGTACGTGTATATTACAGAGGGTTACAAGGGGTTAGGGTGAAACTTCGCATTTCAAGTACTCGCATGTTTTAGTAGTAAATCGCATAGCCACCCAGACTTTTAAAGAGAGAAAAAAACAACAAAAAAGCCGAGTCTTTCTTTTGACTAAATCTTAATCACTTACGTGGATAACAGAGAAAGAGCTAGAGTGAGAAAATGAGAAATGCTAGCGGCCATTTGCACCAAGGTGAAAATGAGCAGCAGGGAAAAAAAGCAAATAGGAACACATATGACATTTCTTCCATAAAACGTGTAACCTGAGGAAGTGTCTGGAAGTTTTTACGTTAAAGTCATGCAAAGAAACAGCGAAGACATGTACAAAAAAGTGTGCTTCACATGAAAAGTTGTTTTTTTGCTAATAAGACCTACTGTTACCACTTAGCATTACACCATTTATTATTTTGTTTGAGTAAACTTCAAGTATATTACAAGAGCTTCGCTTTTAGCCCTGGCTAAATCTATATATTATATGATCTGAAGAATTATGGAGATCTGGGCGCTGAACTCTCTAAGTCTTCAGATCATACTCCTCCTCATCCAATATTGTTTCACAATAACTGAGCGAATTCTCACCCACTGATTGGTCAAGAGTTACGTTCAATAAGCGTACACACCATGGAAATGAGCTGATGGTGACACAATTTGTTTTTGTCATTGAAGAATACATGAATTTCCAGGAAACTTCAATGGAAATTGACAATATAATCTGTCAATGTTATTGTAAAAAACAAATCGACAACAATTTTCCATCGACTCTATGTGTACTCTTATTGACCATAGATTCAGATGATGTCAAAATGTTTAAAACTTTGCTGTGAAACCACTCGCCTGTGGCTCTTGGTTCCACTTGAGTTTTGAACATTCATCATTATTTCTATGGTCGATCAGAGTACAGACCATGGAAAATTGTTGTTGATTTAATTAATTATTATGATGCAAAGTGACATAACAAATAACAAACAAAGTTAAAGTTGAAGGTAGGGTACAAATACTGGAAGGGCAGCACTAAAACACGGAATCCGGAATCCGGAAACAGAATACGGAATCAAATATCGATGATAGAAAATTAAAGAATTTCACAATACACAATTTAGTACAATCCAAAGAGAATTTGTCTAAGTTTTCTTGGCAGTTCCCTTAAATATATTCTTGTTATTGTGTCTTGATAAGGTTTGCCGTAGTGTGGGTTACTGCACTGCAAGGCCGATGAAAGTAATTTTACGAGTAATTTTTATTCACGAGTTCATGGGTTGAATAATACAGTTAAATATTACTTTTGTAGCTAATTGTCAAGAATAGTCGAAGTTAGCCTCAGACCACACCACGTGATTGTCCCCAAACTGAATACTCCACACATGACCGACCGGTGACGTGACCACAGTTCCGGTGTTTTAGCAATAAGTTCAACTTTTTCGCCAAGCTGAATACTGATGGAATACTGGTGTACCGGTAATTGAGTTTACGTGGACGTCCGTATTTTTGTTGAAGAGGCTTATTAAACATGGCGCATTATTTTGATGTAATCGGTTGCGGAATCAAGCAAATGCATGCACAATTCTCTCTTCTCTTTGGACTCCACAATGCCATGGTTCTCTTGAGTAAGTTGTCTTGATAAATAAAACTGAACACTGTTGAAGACAACCCAGAAAAGACACTGAGAAAAACTTGACGGCGACGCCTTTCAGTTATGTAAACGACGCCTCAGACGATTCAAACGAAGTCTGTCTCCATATAACTTACCTTTTTGTTAAGGCACTAGTTTTTGTCAGTCACGTTTTTCTCCTCGCTTTGCTGTCCCATGAGAATTTGCATTCATTGCCGACAGTGGTATCAAGCGTCTTTTCACCGGAATCGACTCCTCTAGTGACACAGCAGTCTCCTCTCCTGTACTCAGCTAATTTATTCATTTGTGCCTTTTTTTTTTTCTGTTTATTTATTTCATTGTCATTGCTAATATTATTTTTTTCAAATCGATCGCTTGGAACCTTCTTTCACAGATTCCGTATTCTGTTTCCGTTTCCGTTTCCGTGATTCCGTTTCCGTTTCCGGATTCCGGATTCCGTGTTTTAGTGCTGCCGTACTGGAATTTGTGCACTTAAAAGGTTGCTACACTGTATTTATTCCATTCTCTGGTTTCCCGCTACCTTTGCTTCACAACCAAAAATTGCTTTCCCCATTTTTTTGGCTGTTAATTCGGTGCCTACTATGTATAAAACTTTCTGTAAACAGAATGTCTCACAATACAAACAATAAATCTTAATTAAAACTAGAAAAAGTGACCACGAGGCAAGAATTCTTGACACTTAACTTACGCCAAAACCAAACAAAATGTCCAATACTTCATTCAGCTGGGCGGAACATGAATTTTGGTACCAGCTGTTTGGATGCAGTAAGTTTTCTGTCTAACCAATCAGCTCTTTAAAATTTTAGCATAATATTTTAATTGTGTCAAAAGGTAGAGAATAAATTCACGCAATATCAAAGCAATTCGCCTGATTACCGGGAAAATGAAAACAAATACAGTTGCACACCAAACGAGTAACAATTTGCGCCATGTAAAATTGTGCACACGTACAATTCAATTTGTAAATAAATTCACTTTACCTCTGACAGAGTTTACTCTTCGTAGTCCGCGAGAGTTTTCTTTCGTACCTGAAGCTTTATCATCGTTTTGTATTAGACTTTCACTATTTGTCCTATTTCTCAGTCTTAACGAAAAGCTTCTCTTTGGCAAACCCCAATTGGAAATCTTCTTGGATAGCCCGCCCTTTTCTTTGAAGCATTCAACGCTCTCTTTTATGTTTCTCCACGATATTGACTTGGATAATTGATCGTCTTTTCCAGAGACTTCACTGCTCTCTGTCTGTTCTACCGTAGGTGATGATGGATTATAGAATAATTTCAATATATCTAAATCGCCGCTAATTTGACCATCGTCCGTCTTGGGAAGCCCGCCAGGTTTGCGGCCGAATCCCAACCCCAAATCAACTGAACACAGCGAAGAAGAGTCATCGGAAGAATCACATTCCTGGGCTCCCATGACTTCTTTTTCCATTGAGAACCAGTAACAGCATCTGTCCTGAGAAAAGACCGAGATCACCCGAGTTTTCTAATGTGGTTGGCAAAGTATGTATATGAAGATACTGTGTTTACTGAAATTTCAGCTTTGTAGCCAAGCTCAAGCTGAGAATCCAGGCCTGCTACCTGTTCACTAGGAGGGTGGTGACCTGTCTTTTATCGACAAGTTTCGTTGAAACAACTTACCTACCTAACTTTTCCCTGTGTGTATCCCCTTCTTCCTTCTCTCCATGTTGAGACGCGTTCTTTTTTTCATATGGCTAATCTGGTTATAAGCAGGCTCCTGTTAGTGAATCATAACGGAGGGCGCAACTCGACGAGTCCGTCATAGTAGAGAGGATGAAATAGACCTTGTCACGGTTTTCGACGCCCGTCTTGACGAGTAGGCAAACGCGTGAGAAATTACAGTGTTTGTATGAGAATCTAATGTCGAATAATTTCCGTAAAACGGCTGCTTTGAAAAAATTATAAATTGTAAACTAAAGCTTCACTCTAAAGGATTCTACTGAAAAAATTTGAGGGCGTTACATGCATTACAAGTCCTAGAACCTTTTTTAAAATTTTCTATACATTTTGTCTGTAAAAATTTCCTGCATGGGAAAAATTGTAGACAAATATATGGAAAATCTAAAGCAAGCTTCTGGAGAAATTTAAGCGCAGTAACGACCCCAAAAATTTGTTGGTAAAATCCTTTGCTGCCGGAGTAGCTTTAGTTTAAAATTCGTATTTTCTCAGAAAAGTCGTTTTACGGAAATTATTCGACATTTAAACCCTCTGCGGCTCGCCTAAACCCAAATTTTGGTCGAGTACCAAGCCGGACCAGATGTTTTAGGCTCCGTCCGACAAGCATCCGGATATTTTTGAAAACGAAGATTTTTTCCTCCGTTTTCGAAAATGTATGTGTCCACATGTACAGCGTAGCGTATTCGAATCGTTTTCGACCGTCCACACGAAAACGCTAAAACGATGGAAATACGATAACAACCTTGACAGGGCATTTGTTTAAAGGCTAGAAGAATATGACGTATGACATTGTCGTATTCAAAAAACTCAGTTTTCGTCCGCCCTCACGTAAACGGGAAGCCACTCTTGAACGGAGCGTTTTTGAAAAGATGTGTTTTTCCACTGGGACCGTTTTCACCGAGGCGTGTGGACGGCGGGCCAGGCAGGAAGAAAAATCTCCTCTTTTAACCAAGACGGATACGTGTAAACGGGGCTTTAGAATCGGCAAAAAATTCATGCCGTTTTATTGTGTCGTTTTCATACATAAATTTATTTTTTTTCATGAATAAATCTATTTTAACTATTGATTAATTCTCTATTCAATAGTACGCAATCGGTCAGATCCGGAAAATGAAGATTTATTCTTAAAGCCAGCAAAGTTAAAACTTTGATTCACCTTCATAATAAATATTAGTATATTTTACAACTGGCCTTCATCGGTTCATAGTGACACCTTTCTATCAGATACATATCGTTTTTAATTGCTATTTAAACTGATCATGACACGTATTAAAAGTGAATATAACCATGGTTCATAATAAGCTGCTGGTGGGTAAATAGTGGTAACAAGAATGTGCAAAGTTTGGCTCAGAAATATGTTCGATTTGTCTGAGCTAGAAACAGAGCAGTTCTACTTGCTTCGAGAGCCACTGGCTGAATTTCAAGTTATACATTAATACACGATAATTTACGGGAAATCCTACCTGCTGACATGGCAGACTTTGTTGGTATATTGTTTCAGTACTTTCCCTCTTCTAATATAAATATTAGCGCTATAAATTGACCTTAAACTAATTTCGTGAACAGTGGATGGTTCTGTTTACATCTCTATTGTACTCTTTTGTTTTCAATGATTGTACAACTTGAATTAGCTTTTCAATTTGGCTGTTTCCTGTAGCTCCCAATTGGATTTATCTTTCCCAATCTGAAGTTTAGACGGTTAGAGCAACAAGATTTCCGCACTTAAGTTTTGATTAAAATAGTTCAAAACTGGAAAAACCTGTCTTTCACAAAAGTCAGTCTTGCGAGGAATGTGTCACATTAAATTGTGTAACATTTATCGACGCTTTAATGACGATCACGTGTATGTTTACATTGCTATACACTTATCAGCCAATAAGCGCGAACCTTTACAAGGGAAATTTCCCCTTAAATACTAGCTGAGAAGCACCTTGCTTTATGCTGGCTGAAAACTGACTAACTTAAGGCCGGCAGTGCAACAGTGTTAAACCTTGATGCAAAGTATGCTAGAATTCACAGGGTTCGTTCGACCGAATCAAGTCAGTCCAAGACTTTTCGCAGCTTGCACATTTTTAATGCTCATCGTCACGAGTAAGTGTTATTATATCTTTATCGCTCTGAGTGTGAGTTTTAGAGAAGGTTTTGGTAATTGTTATGGATACAATAGTATCTGAATATTCGTATCGTTTGTCTTTAGGTGGTGTATATCGCAATGTTTCGACTGCTTGAGGCGATTTTATACAAGAGACTACTTGCAACGAAGATTTTTAGGGCCAAAGTGTTGTAATAATGTTGTAATAATTTAAACACTATTGCAACACTGTTGTAAAGTTGTATGGCGCCAAAGAAATCGTCGTCGCTGAATCATCCACGTGTAAAATCGTCCTTACAGGCTTTCTTCTTCAGCCAATGTCTTGCGGTCCTTACCAGTGCGGTAGCCAGACCAAACGGCCAACCGAGGCAGGCGGGAGTTGCTAGGGGGGTTCGGGGGCATGCCCCCCCCCCCGAGAAATTTTGAACTTTAGTCTCTCGGAAATGCGATTTGCAGCGTTTTCTGGGCCTTTCGGTAACTTTTTTTCGAGTTAATTTAAGTGGAATTTAAAAAGCAATAATCAGAAACAAGCTACATAATCTGGGTGACCGTTAACCTCGCCAATGGTTTTGATCAGTATTTGTTCAAAAAAAATTTGAGTTAACGTACGTAGCCCCTTGAGATCGATGATATGGTAATTTTTTCATAGTATATTGACTGAATTGCTGAATTCTTTGTAATATCATGATGCGTTAAAATTATCCGATGATCGCTTATGTAAAATAAAAATGATCGGGGAAATTCGTCAAAATTTTACCGAGGCGAGTGCCTCGGTTGGCCTCATACTAGCTACGGCGCTGCTTACGAGAGTCTTTTCAGTCTGCCATATATCGGTCTACGACAGATCTAGAAAACTTAAGGGAAAAAATCTTAAATTCCTCAACATACAATGCGTCCTGCATCTTCCAGTTTTGAGGAACGTTTGTTGTTATTGACAAATTAAGTTGAGTCATAAGCCGTAACGTTTTAGATTTGGAGCTTTAAAAGATATATTTTGGCAGTACGAACTATCAAATCATGGTTCTTAACGATCAAATCGTAGCTTATAAATGCTTATAACATTATGACTTGTTTTACTATGCAGTTTGAACGACATTCTTTCTGCTAAATCGGAAACTGCATGCTCAGTTCTCTTTTCTATTTGCAAACTGCGTCTTTCATTTTACCATCATGATACGACCAAATTGGGAGGAGGATTGATACGTTCGGGTGGCCGTCGACAATCGTGGGGTTTTGTTCAGTTCGGCCTATTCAGTCTCAATCATTATCCTGTGACGTATTGGTTCGGTCACGGCGATCCATCTATTTGATTACAGTTTTTCATTCGCTAATACCTATATCGAGATCCCGATGAGTCAGGATCATATCACGGTCTTAGTTTGAGAGTCTGTCGGAACAAACCTTTCATGTATTAAAGACTGGGCTGTCTTTGAAGTTTGTGAGAATAAGAGAATAATACTCCTCTGATACTTAAAAGCCCTAACCTTTTTTTGCTTACTCATCACATCTTCAGACTCGCTGCTTGCGTGGTTGGCCTCAGAAAGGCTTTATGAATAATAAGTGTGTGTATACTAATGAGATTTCAGATTCTTTTTTCAGAAACCTTTTCATACCCGATCATAATAATGTTTTCAGTAAATATTGATTTTTTTTTTCTGCGATGAAGACATTTCCTTTTGTCCGCCATGAACCTTAGCATCAACGTGGCAGAATAACAGAACGGCATTATGCTCATTGGTTGACTGCGTACGTTTGTAGATCATCCGCTCCGTTTCTAAGAATGCATTTAGCTTGCCCTGAACAAACTCCGTTCGAAACTCGCATATTTTAATAACAGTCATGCTAAGGGACATGATCGTAATCAAGTCCTGGCGATTGTATTCAGTGTCTCAGTGTGTATACAAATGCTTGACTATTTGTGTATGAAAATGAAGGAAATCAACCGTATCTGATTCATTCCACTTGTTATCAGTAGACAAAAACTTAAACAGTTTTTTCCACTGGCGAACTGATAGACGATTTTAAAGTTCGAGAAAAATTACACTTTCATCTACTTTTGATAACATTCTCAATCGTACGCCTTTTCATTTCAACATTTAAATAATAAAGCAAAATATGCTCAAATTTATTTTACAGACCTCTGTTCTAAAAAAACCATCGGCTCCTGTCTTAGGACATGTGCAACTGAAAAAGCCGACAATTACGAATTCTCGCTGTACTGGCTTTATATGACGTAAGGAAATTTCGTAAGCGAGGGCACAAAAAGTGCAAACGTGCAACAAAATTCACAGTTCATTAGATAGTTTTTATTTTAATTATTTTATTTCATTATCTATTTTTATTTCATGGGTTTACTGAAAAATTTTCAATGCTACAGTTCGATAAAGTCTAGAATCTAACCGTTTCCCGCGGCAATGAAAGGTGTTTCGGGCTTCCGATGCCACTCAGTAACTGAAGTTCGTGCATGTAGTTTTTAATAAGAGGAAACGTAAACAGACTTTTCGCCAATCAAAACAGGTACTCAAGAGATTACGGCCCTGTCATTCATCAAAAAAACAGCCTCATTCACTTGAGCCACTTATCAAAGCACAGTGGTACTGTGCCTGTGTTATTGTATTAAAGCGACACTGTGTTTAAAAAAGAAACAGTTGAACCATTATATTTTAATACTCCCCTGGTGTTGTGTTAACAACAGAAAACTGAATAGAGACAACGTACAATAGGGTTTAATTTTTGATGACAGCATTATACCCTATAAAAATGATAGACGTTTTTAAGGTAAATCTACAATTTCTCTGGCTAATCAAGGTTGCCTGCATAGTTAAAAGTTTCTTTCCGAAAGGTACCCATAGAAGCCATTCATATTTCTCATTGTTTTTACTATGAGGTTTGAACGTTTTTTACTTCAGACCTGTCAACCCCTGATAAAGGAAAATCTGGAGACTCCTGAATAAAAATCCGCCTCTAGATTCTACAAAAAGTAGTGAGATTCTAATATGACGTATGACACCATCGTATTCAAAAACCTCCGTTTTCGTCCGTCCACACGTAAACGGGAAGCCACTCTTGAACGGAGCGTTTTTGAAAAGACGCGTTTTTCCACTGGGACAGTTTTCACCGAGGCGTGTGGACGGCAGGCCAGACAGCAGGAAAAATCTCCTCTTTCAACCAAGACGGATACGTGTGAACGGGGCTTTAGAATCCGCAAAAAATTCGTGCCGTTTTATTGTGTTGTTTTCATGCTTAAATTTATTAATTTTTTTCATGAATAAATGTATTTTAATTATTGGTTAATTCTCTTTTCAATTGTACGCAATCCGTTATTCGCAAAATGAAGATTGATTCCAAAGCCAGCAAAGTTAAAACTTTGATTCAGCTTCATAATAAATATTAGTATATTTTACAACTGGCCGTCATCGGTTCATAGTGACACCTTTCTATCAGATACATATCGTTTTTAATTGCTATTTAAACTGATCATGACACGTGTTAAAAGTGAATATAATCATGGTTCATAATAAGCTCCTGGTGGGTAAACAGTGATAAAAAGAATGTGCAAAGTTTGGCTGACTTTAAAATCAGAAATATGTTCGATTTGTATAAGCTAGAAACAGAGTTTCTACGCACTTCGAGAGCCTCTGGCTGAATTTCAAGGTATAATACTGTAATTTACGGCGAAATCCTACCTGCTGACATGGCAGACTTTGTTGGTATATTGTTTCAGTACTTTCCCTCTTCTAATATAAATATTAGCGCTAAAAATTGACCTTAAACTAATTTCGTGAACTGTGGATGGTTCTGTTTACATCTCTATTGTACTCTTTTGTTTTCAATGATTGTATAACTTGGATCAGCTCTTCAATTTGGCTGTTTCCTGTAGCTCCCAATTGGATTTACCTTTCCCATTTCTGAAGTTTAGAGTTAAAGCAACGAGTTGATTAAAATAGTTCAAAACTGGAAAAACCTGTCTTTCACAAAAGTCAGTCTTGCAAGGAAAGTGTCACATTAAATTGTGTAACATATATCAACGCTTTAATTACGATCACGTGTATGTTTACATTGCTTTACACTTATCAGCCAATAAGCTTTAAAGACTGGGCTGTCTTTGAAGCCTTTTTAGTGAGAATAATGAATAAATAATACTCCTCTGATACTTAAAACAGGAGCACCCAACGAGAATATAGTTCAAAACCACTTAAACATAGCATTGTTAAAGGTAGTTTAGTATTTAAACGGTTGATACAGGCATATTTTTATTCCCTAAAAAATTTTCATCTGTTCGGATTTCCTAGCTGAAAGTCTAGTGATCCGCCGAAAATTATAGGGATCAAAACTTTCATTTTCAAAAATTCAGCCAGAAAAAAGGCTCCCGCAAATTCTAGGTGACCTTTTTAGGGTAAAAATCCGTTAAAAATGGGCAATTATACCATTTTTTAGATGTTAGAAAATCCTAGGAGAGGCAGGCAAGCAAGAAATTTTACAACAAATGTTCTGAAAATTCTAGATCTCAAATCGTCTTCCGAACAGATATTTTCCATGAAAAATTGACGTTGGGTGCCCCTGTTAAAAGCCCTAATTTTTTGTTTACGCAGCACATCTTCAGACTCGCTGCCGCGGGAAGGCTTTATGATCAATACTAAGTATGTGTGTAATGAGATTTCTGATTCTTTTTTCAGAAACCTTTTCATGCCCGATCATAATAATGTTTGCTGTAAATGTTAATAATATATATATATTTTTTCTGCAATGAAGACATTTCCTTTTGTCGGCTATCAACGCGGGCAGCATTACGGAACGACATGTGTCGGAAACTTTATACCGATAATTTTTATGCGCAGCGGTTGACTACGTACGTTTGTAGATCGCCCGATATTTTAGTAATCGCCGTACATTTCTTGGAATCCTGAACTATTTCCAGAAAAAGGCGCTCCGTTTCTAAGAATGCCTGCTAGCTCGTTTGAACAAATTCTGTTCGAAACTCCCATATTTTAAAAATAGTCATGCTAAGGGACATGATCGTAATCAAGTCCTGGCTATTGTATTAATTGTGTATACAAATGATTGACTATTTGAGTATCAAAATGAACAAATCAATCTTATCTGATTAATTCCACTTATTATCAGTAGACAAAAACCTAAAACAGTTTTTTCCACTGGCGAACTGATAGATTAAACGATTTTCAAGTTTCAGGAACCAAGCGGACAGTTTCATCTACTTTTGATAACACTTGCAAATTGAACGCCTTTTTATTTGAACGTTTAAAGAAAAAAAAAGATATGCTCAAATTTATTTTACAAACCACCGTCGGAAAAAAATATTTGCTTCTGTCTTTAAACGTGTGCAATTGAAAAATGCTGACAATCATGATGAACTCCTGCGGCACATTTTTTTTACTGGCTTATGACAGACGTAAGGAAACATGTTTCGCAAGCGAGGGCACAAAAAAGTAGAAACGTGGCGTGTGAACAGGCTCTCTGTTTGGGGAAAGGGTGAAAAAAAACTGAACCTTTCCCTTCCCTCTCCTCGCGATTTTTTCACCCTTTCCCCAAACAGAGAGCCTGTTTACATGCTAGTGGAAACGCAGCAAAATTCTTTTGTTTTCTTCAGAGGAATGTGCTGCCGGAAAGCAAGAAAGCAAGAGTACGTTTAAGTTATGGCCGAAATACTGATTACCTTGTAAAGGATTCCTGAATATGTGTTATGCAAGTATGTCATGAGAATATTTTGTTGGTTTCCAAATATACTTGACCAATGAGAGCCAAGGGGAAATTTCCCGTCGACTTGAGCGTTTTCTCATGCATGGGTGCCCAGTGATAAAATAAAGAGCAAAAAGCAATCCCGAACACCTTCAGTTGCGTTAAACTTCGACGAAGACTGTGTCCCGTAAATTCTGCTTACGATCCAAATGATGTCCTCACCTGGCAGTAGCTTTCAAACGCCTTTGATATCCCACGGCCTTTTTTACTTGTTTTACGTCTTCCTTGGTAAGAGTAGTTTTTTGTTATTTTTGTGTATTTTTAAGGGTAAATGCTCTACGCCACCCAACCACTGTAAAACACTTCAGTGATACTGAATTAATCGTCACAGTTCATCAGACAGTTTTACATGTAATGTCTAATTTCATTTTATGGTTTTAAATAATTTGCAATGCTACAGTTCGATCGATACAGTCTAAAATCATGTCCGTTTCCCGGCAATAAAGGCTGGTTCGGGCTCCTGATGCTACTTTAACTGAAGTTCGTGCATGTAAGTTTTTATAAGCCAAAACGTAAACAGACTTTTCGACAGTGCTGACACTTGTACTCAAGAGATAACGGCCTCTGTTATTCGGCATCAGAAATATAGCCCCATTCACTTGAGATACTTAGACAAAGCGCACTGGTACTGTGCCTATGTTGTCTATGTTATTATGACACCGTGTTTAGAAAGGACACAGTTAAACAATTATATTTTAATACTTCCCTGGCGGTGTTTTAACAGCAAAGAATAATAAAGACAACGTACAATAGGCCGTTTTAAAATTTCTCCTGCTAATCAAGGTTTCTCGCATAGACCGCATAGTAAAGTTTCTTCTGTGCTCGTGAGGGATAAGACCGAAGTTGGAAAGGTACCCACAGAAGCCGAAGCCCGAAGTCAGTGATGTGTATTCATTTCATATTTATGAGGTTTGAAAGTTTGCACACTGATGACAACCGGACTATTGTTCAAAGAAAAAGCTCCATATTTTGCATTCACTCAATTTTTCCTAAGTGCTTTTATGATGTTTATCACTGTATTTTCACCTGACAACCGTTGAAGGCTTCATATGTTTGCTGACGGTCCTGTGATATATGTCTACTTATACACGTTTTTTACGCAACTTTTTCTACGTCACTTGGTCGTGACTCAAAGAAAAGCTTGAAATCCTGTTACGTTTTAACTTTAACTAAACTGGGTTATAGCATCAGTTAAATATCTGATAAGCAATTGATATATTTAAGAACTTCAGGAGCTGAGCCGTAACAGTCTCTGATTCTTTATGTGTACCTAATTTATGAATTAGTTAGTACCCCTGAGAACAAGTTCAAGTTTATAAAACATTTGACTTAGCTGGTTTCATCTGAGCACACGAACCGTCATTCAGTTTTATTTACCTACGAAAACACTACATTATACAATAATAGACCTATTACCTGCCTTATTACCTGCTATACGATAAGCATGAATGAGAACTAGTCTCCCACGCAGGCGTTTTTAGGGGAGCACGACCTAAATCGAGCTCCCCTAAAAACGCCTGCATGGGAGGCTATATGAGAACAGACTGTTTTTAAAACAACTTTCAAGCTGTTCATAAAATGATGTCACGCCGGCTTTGCTCATGTTGTCTTCTGTTATAAGACAAAGTCATGCTTAGTAACGATGACTAAGTAATCCTCAATGAAAATTTCTCCACGTGTGTTTAACAAAATTAGACAAAGTATAGTGATGCAATTTTAGATACAACAAACAAATAACAAAGGAAGAGGAAATGACTAATTGACGGGTTTTGCTTGAAACATCACTTAGAAAAGCTGTGCAGTAATTTAGTCGTTGCGTTTTTTCCTCAGTCTGCAACGTCAGCATTTTATAAAACAAAGCCTTACTAGGCTGAAAGCTCAGTTCCCGTGACCACGTCAGTACGGCCGTTTTAAAGTATATGATCTACTTTCGCAAATCCTTGTCAACAAAACCTACGAGATTTTTGCTGACTTTGAAACTGTTTAGTTAAAGCCGGCTTTCATTTGTTACCCGACTGGATGAAAAGAGCTGTTTTCGTTATGGTGGTTCGTTCAGTATATTCCTCGAGAACAGCACCAATCCTCTGGGCAATTATCTTCTTCTATGGCGCTGCTGCTACCGGTAGGTGTGTCTTAGGATTCAGTTTATACACACACAAAAAAAAACAAAAACAAAAACAGAATATTATTTTAAATTAAAGCTGCAATTCACTACAAGCTAGTGAAATTTGCCAGATCCAACACCCAGTCTTACCCTGGGGCTCCCTGGAGTATTGACAAGTCCACGCCAGACAACTAGAAATATCACTGATTGGTCTACGAGGCGAGGCATTTCCAAGCTTTCTTACTATCAGGTAACTACTCAGAGTGAAACTTTGGTCAACATTTGCACGAAATTAAATTAAAACGCTGTGCTCTCTCAAATCAATCCGGCCACAAAGGAATCTTGACATCAGACAGGAGATTATAGAATCCAGTATATCTACTAACAAGGCTTAGTTTATTGCAATCTCCTACTGGCTTCGTGCTATGCACTTAGAGGGTGTACAGTTGTTTCCCGAGAAAGTCAACACCACATACTGCGCAATACCCTAACATCAGCTCGCAGGTTTCAAAAAAGGCTACAAAACAATATATGCTATTTTAAGTCATGACGAAGTTTATGCTGTTAGCTATGGGGCCCCTTTGTTTAGGCCGTCAGAATTTCACTTGACCATGACTTCTGATCTCTAGATAAAACTTGATTAAAACATTCCATGTACTATATCTATTGTTCTAAAACGCTCTAATTAAATTTCTGTCAATCTTATTTTGTCCTTTGGTTTATTTCATTAGTCATCACCGACCATCTGCTGACTTGTAATGTGTTTCTGTTGAAAAATAATGTTTTAAATTTAGTGATCACAATGTACCTTCATCGGAAACCTTTTATAATGACTTTCTGTAACAGACAATGTTGTCTCTTTTTCCCGAACCCTAAGTACCTTTGCAAAGGATTGGATGATTCATCGAGCTTTAAAAATGATTTTGACATATCCTAATTATTATTTTGAAAACTCTCGCGCGCTAAAATCATGAGTTGAATGATCGTGACGACATTGGCATTGTTACGTTCCCTTTTGTTTTACTCACTTGCCGTCTGCTTATTTCCTTATCTTCACTGTCTGTTCACTCACTCTTGTTGAATCGATAAATGTGTCTGATATTTCAATTTCCAGTTTAAGGCAAAAAAAAGTTTAAAATTGGGTCAGACTTCAGGCGACTGAAGAACACGTTTTAGGCGACTCAAGCGTTCGAGTCTTCCGGTCAATGATGAAAACTAATCAATAAACGTAGAGGATGAAGCCCTAAATATAAAGCCGCTGACCTAATGAAATATGCACTCCCTCTTTAACTTTAATTTTATGCAGTGCGATATCGGCGTAGTCAAGTTAGCATTGGCCTCCTTTTATTGCCGCTACAGCCATTGCAAAGAGTTTTATTCAGTTTTTAACTTTCTGAGTGTTCTTCTTTTTGATTTTCAGTGACCAGAGCTGACAGCAGCTGTGACAGCGCATTGGAAATATGCTCTAACGAGGAAATCGAATTCCATTGTCCACTATTTGACCGGGCTATGAAGTCTAATCAGTACCAAAGTCTTATATGGTCTGTGTTCGACCCAAAGAACCCATCAGCGGAAAAGGAGAGTATATTTTACTGTGGTGAAAACCCTTTGAACTGTGCGACTTATAAACTGAACATTTATAACGGACGAATCTCTGTCAGAAGTCCTGTTCCAGGGAAACTGCTTTTGAAACACTTGACCAAGAATGATTTGCTGACCTACACCTGTGAAATACAGCTCAAAGATATCAACCTCAACCAACTTGTTTGTAGAGTGAATATCACCTCGTCAGTTTATTGTAAGTTTATAGTGATTAATTTTTCGCTTTTTGGAGTAGGCCCCCTCCTTAATTCCTTTCCCCGACAAACTACGTTTAGTTGCAACCAAAGGAAAAGTATCGCCTAGAAACTTAGTTAGATTGGCCATTTGGTCGAACAATACGCATAGCAAGCAAAATTGAATGTTTCTTTTATGGGAAATCAGTCCATTCAACCAGTTCAATTAGTAACCCGACGAATTCCGAAAACGGTTTTAATTCGATGCATCGCAAAGAATTACTTTTGTAAGTAAAGCACGGTGACTACGGGGTACAGACCTCAGACAACGACATCATGTATCCATTCTTGATAGGTCTATATTCATTTTCCGCACTTTGCATAAAACTTTATTAACACGCAATAGCACTGGATCACCCATGGTATGAGAAAGTCTGAATTGCCTCATCCATAGTCGACTAACTAATGCTTAGTCACCTGGCTTATCTCTATCCCTTATATTCATTGCAACCAATAACGACCGAAACTCTCCTCACAAACTGAATCAACTAGCCTGCCTCGGATAGGTGTAAGGAACAATAAGAAGAGGTCTTCAGCCTGGGAGAAGTGTGGAAAGGATGCAAGGTGTGAAGCTAAGGGGGAGGAAAATCATTACCTACATATACATGCTTACCCTGTGGTTCACGACGACGTCATACGTGGGTTAAGTTTGTTGTTGGTTCTCTCCCTTGCTCCGAGAGGTTTTTGTCCGGGTACTCCGGTTTTCCCCTCTCCTTAAAAACCAACATTTCCAAATTCAAATTCGATCTGGAACACATAAACTCCTAAGTGATCCGTGGGTAAACAAATTGCAAATTACGCACTGATTCCCCTCTTCTTCTTTTGAAGATTTTGCCCCCTTGCTAGCCTTGGTGAGCGACTCTTCTAACTCATTTTCAAGTCCATATCTTTTTACAGACAGAGCTTTCCTGCATGAATTAATTTCCTTTTTTTCCAGGTATGACCGCCCATACTGGTCAAAACCTTAGTCTGACCCCGCAAAAAGAAAGGGAAAAACAACTGTCCAAAAACTTATTCGATGAAGACATCTGGTGGTTCATGATTGAAGACAATGGAAGAAAGTGTAGATTCCTCTACTGTAATGCCACAGCATACTGTGCTTTTACAAAGGATCCTTGCTATGAATTCCGTGCAGAGTTCTTCAAAAGACTTGAGATCGAGGAACTGTCATTAACTTTGACCGACGTCCGGAAAGAAGATTGTGGGTTAGTATTTCAACGTCAAATTCACCCTAACAGTTTGACTAAAAGAAGAGCTAAGCAGTGGCATGAATTATATACGGTGAAGATTCAAAATGTTTTACCTTCAGGTTAGTGGTATAAATATCTGTTCATTATGCACCTTTTGATAAACCATTACGCAGAGGCAATCCTCCAGCAGGGAGATTTGAGCGCGGTCTGGGAGCGGGGTTTAGATCAATTGTCAAATGGAGCAGTTAGTGGCCATTTTACTCTCAGTAACTTGTCAAGTTTCCGTGATCACCCGCGAGCCTTACCTGAGACCACGAGGTCCGACAGCATGAATAAAATGTTGTGTTGTTGTTGTGTTACGAGAGCCTCCCCGAAGAATTGCGTTTATTGAAATAATCAAAATGGTCCTTCGAGCCGGATTTAAACTGTGTAGCCAGCTTTAGGATGGATGAACATAAAAAGGCGCACTTCTTGATACCGCCGCTCCAGTTTATATGCAGGTATTTGCCGCGGAGTCGTCTAGGATAGGGTGCTGATCTCAAGATTTTTAACACTTACTAAATGAGGCTTGGCATGATTTGTAGACATTATGCAAATTGCGAAGAAAGAACGGCCTCGGTGCATAACATCCTCCGAGATCAGCATAATTTTTCACATCATACAGAGCCGAATTTAATAATTGTGTTATCATTCAAACAAAATATTTCTAAGTTTTAACAAGCTTACCTCAGCGTAGACTTTCTTCAAAACTTTGGGCTATTTCTCGGCACGGTTTCAGGATTAAACAGATTTTCTTCAGTGGAAGATACACTTCTATCGAGCAATATGTTTTGCGCATTCTCGCATTTCGTCCATTCGGTTTTAGCCAGAAATTCGGTCAGCCATTTCGTTTTCGGATAGCCTTGAACGCTATTTTTTCTAGTTCCTTCTTGAACAAACCACTTTTGCGGCCTCGCCGGGAATCGCAGTTGATGGTTGCCCAAGGAGCCTCATTTCCAACCAATACAATCGAATAGATGTTATATTAGTTGGCTCGCATCTTCCAAATTTGGTCAGCTGTGGTTGGTTATGAAGATGATTAGCCGGGGGCTTTGAGCCAATTAGAAACGGTGAAATATTTTGAATGAATTTTAAAAAGAAATATATATTTCATGATAGTCACACATCTGAAAATAACGATAAAGTAAGTGTATTCTAGAAGCGAAATTAACAGAAAAATAGAGACTTGGAAATGAGAATAAGGTTTTCGACCTCTGATTTAAAAGATGGTTTCAAAAATAAAGCTGAAAACGTATGCTAGACTATGAATATTGGAGCGAAGTGACCGTTTGGTACACTGAGATCTAAATGAGATTTTTACATTTTCTTTTACAGATTCAGATCCCAGCATCACTAACTCGCAAAGTACTCCTACAGATGATAGCAGTACAACATATACACCACCGACATCCTCAGCTAATTGTTGCCAAGTCTCCCGCTCTGCGTTCTCTGTATTGACTTGTTTTTTGATAGCAGCTTACTTTCTCACGCTGTATTGAGTTTAACAACTGTTCCAAGCAAGCAATCATTCACGTGGGGTTGTAGAAATGCCGTAAAAAGACTTGCGATAAAGCAGTCGACGCGGGATAAAGTGATGCCTGGGTTCGAGGTCATGGAAACTAGCCTGTTCCAGGCTCAGCTGAGAAAGTCGGGTTCGCGAAATTAAAAAAGCACGAGCACGGCAACAAAACGGGAGGAAACTGGGGAGAGGAAGGGCATATATATTTTCGCGTGCTATCACGGTGATATGCATATGGGTACCCCCGTTCCTAAAACCCTAGTGATATGGGTATCCCCGGTGACCCTAACCTTAACTCTAACCCAAATCGCTAAGGTAATATGAGAGGGGGATAGGGAGCTCACTAGGGTTTTGGGAATGGGGAAGCCCAAAACAAGGAGATGCCTGTATCACTGTAACAGTGCCTCTCACTTACGCTTCATCCCCACTACCTGAGAGCCTGGAACAGGCTAGGAAAAATGTGCGTGGTTATTCAAACGGCAGGAAACTGCAAGAAAATTAATATACTGTTACTCAGAATGGTAAACTCTGATATAATATTTAAAAAACGATATTTTTTATTGCGTGTATTTATTAAATAAAGCAATTATTGGATGAGGCTGACATAATCTGAAGAATTATGCAGATCGAGGAGGTTGTTATCCGCCTAAGGCTTCTTGGATGTCGTCCCCCTTATTTGGCCAATGTAGCCTGTACTATTGACGTCGTTTCAACGGATATCGGAAACGACTTCTAAATTTGGTTAACGCTAGCTTGTTATGAAGAATTAGGCGAAGGACTTGAGCCAATCAGATACGAAGAAATATTTGTAATGAATATTTTTTAAGATATATATCTTTTATACAACTATCCTCCGAGGGGGAGCTGAACAGTGAAATTTATGAACCGAGGAAGCAAAGCATCGAGGTACATTTAATTTAGCTATACATGCACCAGCCCTGTCAGGGATGGATAGTTGTTAAAGGGACCGGTTATTATTCATCGCCTGGGGGCGGGAGGCGGACGATTTGGGGCTAAACAAGGTGTAATTTAGCCGATCTCCCTTTGAATGTTACTTCCTTAATAACATTTGATGACGTTCGCGATCCTGCCCCCCCACCATGTCTTCATTTTTCAAGCAAATTTGACTGTTCTCCAGTCTGAATCCTTCCAAAGTTTCCATTGATCCCCCCTTTTGGGTTCTCAGTTAGGACTGACCCCCCCTTTTCTTCTCCTAAGAATAAAGTGATCCCTCCAAAATCCCTCCGCCCTCCCCAGGCGATAAATAATGACCGGGCCCTAATATCTAGCAAATATGAGATGGGTCATTTTTTGCAAATAAAATACGTCACTTGGTAAGAGCTTTCTTTAAATTTTAATTGACAGTGTCCAAAAATATTTTTTGCGATTTTGTTTATTAATAATAATAATAATTTAATTCTTATATTGCGCGCTTTCCATGAAATGATCAAGCGCGCATTACATCATTTCTATCTGTAATAATTTAACACAGGGTATCTAACTAATAATTATTTAAAATATACTATGATAAAATTAAAATATACAATATATGTTAAGATACTAGTAATTATCGTGATAAAAATTAATAAAAAGCTTCCCTAAAGTGGTGCGTTTTCAGATGGCACTTAAAAATCCCTAGATCTGTAATAGAACGAATCTCACGCGGTAATACATTCTAAAGTGCTGGAGGTGCGACCTGAAATGATCTGTCTCCTAATGTAACCCTACTTCTATAAGTTGGAGTTGCAAGCAACAAACCGTCCGAGAGGATCTTAAATTATAATTTCCTGATCTTTTAATTGACACAACTTTTCTTAAATACGTTGGCGCGAATTCATGAATGGCCTTAAAAAGAAATAGTGGAGTCTTAAAACTAATGCATTGCCTAACCGGTAGCCAGTGCAGCTCGTACAGCAGCGGCGTTATGCGACAGTAGCGTGGCGCGCGACAAACGTGTCTTGCCGCGGCATTTAAAACGCTCTGAACCTTATTCAGGTGAGAAGCTGGAAAGCCATATAAAAGACTATTACAATAATCTACGCGTGAGGTAACAAACGCATGTACGAGGGCTTTCGTGGTATCTGTACTTAAAAACCTGCGGATCCGACTTATATTATGCAAATGATAGAATGCCGAGGCGCATTGCTTGCTTTTAAGGGATGACATATCTAGATTACGTTCAAACCATGACCCAAGATTTCGCACAACTGATTTCGCCTCTACGACTGTGTCACCTGCAGTAATATCATTCAAGTTGACTTTCTGTAACTGTTGCCTAGTACCTATAAGCATC